ATTGATTTTTAAATCATCGGTTAATCCTTTGGGTACATTTGACGAGTGAGACACGTCATCTGTTTACTTGGGTATTTTGTTTTATTTTATAATATTTATTAATATTTAGTAATTAAAATGTCGTTGCCAAAAAATAAAAAAAAATATATTTATATCATCAATATATAAATATATATTTCAAATAAAATGTATTACTTTGACATATTAATCCATATATATATATATATATAATTACAATAACAAATTAAATTCGTTTATGTATACATAAAAATTTGCAAATAATTCAGTACTCAAGGGGTTAAGATAAATTATAATTCAATTTTAATCCTTGAAAAAATTATTATTAATTTTATATATTTAAATTGATTTTTTTTTCTTCAAATTTTCAATTTATTATTATTTTATTTCTTCTATCGAATTCGCGACGAAAATAAAAAAAAAAAATACCGAATCTTCGGAAAAACAATCCTATTCTAGAAACCATAGAAATATACCGACGAAGTATTTTTTTTTTTTCTATTTTTCTTTTTTTTTTTTGTACCATTTAAATACCAGAGAGGATATCTCCCGTATAGAAAGAAAGAAAAAAAGACGCATAACTCAGCGAAATATTTGGATGGGGGTGGGAGGTAACAAAAAAAAAACAAAAATAAAAGATCTTTTGTTCGTGATACAGATAAACACACACACACACTCACACATACACACACACAACACACAGAGAGATAAAAAATAAATAATGAAAGAATGAAAACGTTTTTCAAGAGTTTTCCATTTTACTGAACAAACACGAGAGGCTGTTTTCTCGTAACCATTGAGAAATAAGAAGAGACATTGTCAAAGACAGAGAGAAAAATACAAAGGGAATGAGAGGAAATGGGGGAGAAAAGGGGTAAGAAAATAGATAGATAGATAGATAGATAGATAGATAGATAGATAGATAGATAGATAGATAGATAGATAGATAGATAAAAAGAAAAAAAAAGGAAAAGGAAACGTACAATCGGCTTGACCAGCACAAAGCTTTGAACAAACGAATGACAAGCCAAAGGGAGGGATGAGAAGGGAAGGGAGGGGAGGGGAATGGGGGGGGGGTAGGTGGTAGCTTTGCGAATTGGCGAATTGCTAACATCGAAGTAACATAAGCTTAGAAAGAGAAACGAGTGAGTGGACCTTCGGTATATCCTAAAGCAAAGTGAACACTCAGCGAAACTGGCGTGCCAACGTAATCTCCCCCAGATTTTCTAAACGAAAAAGGGTATCCCCCTCGGTTTTCGATACGTTTCTCTATGAAACAACTTCACGACGAATCCCTTTTTTTCCGTTCCACCTATCGTTTTTTCCACCACTGCCGAATAAAACTTTTTTATGCTTTTGAAGATAGAAACAAAAAGGAGTGGGGAAGAGGAGGAGGAGGAGGAGAGGGGAAGATTGAACGAAAGAGAGAAAGGGTGGGTGAGGGTGGGGAATTACAATACTACAAGAAACTTATAATGTTACTAAATTGTAGGAACAACTATAAAATTGTTGCAATTATTATATTTTTCTTTTTTTGGTAATTTAATTAAAATTATATATTAAAAATAAACTATGGCGGAATATTTGCGTTAGTATTGTATTTTATTCGATAAAATTTTTTTTTTTGTAAAAAGTTATCAAAAAATATCGAAACAAAATGTATGTGTGTGTGTTTACATTTTTAAATTATTAAATACAAATATGTAATATATTATATTATATAAATATTTAAATA